GCTATGAGTCGGGGCCGACTCGACGGCAAATAACAACAACAACAACTCAGTCATTTGGTGGGGGCTACAAAGACTATGGCTAGATGGGCTATAATAAGTAATTCATTGCACTGTATTAGAAGACACAATTTCTATTATTTTAATACTTTAAACTTACTGAAACGTTATGATTTGCAGTCTTGATGGCTTTCATGTTTTGGATAATTCCAATTCCTTATCTTTTTGCCTGTTCTCTCTCTTCTCCTGGGACTCCTACTACACTTAAGTTAGACTTTTTCATCATATTTCAGATATCTTTCACCATCTTGCTTGCATGTTTCCATCCATTCATTTTTCTCCAATCTTTATATTTTATTTGATTTCAAGTTTTCTAGGCCTCTTTCAGTGGTTTCTAAATGGGTTTTAAACCCCTCAACTAGTTTGTTTTCCAGCTATTTTATATTTTATTTCTAGAATTTCTGCTTGTTGTTCAAAAACTAATATTCCATTTATCAGGTAGCTTTTGTTATACACTGAACCCTCTGAAAGCTGGAACTTGACAGGATTGCATTGCTTTTCTAGGTCTTGCAAGTTTTCTGCCTTTGAAGGGGTACAGTCTTGCCACTGTTTTATGACTCTTTTTAGAAAATTTTTGAATTTTCCTTCTCTGATGGGTTTGTGCCTTACACAGGTTCCAGTTTTCACAGAGTTTACTGTGTAACAAACTGCTTCAAAATTTAATAGATTTAAACAACAACCACTTACTTAGCCAATTCTGTGAATTGGTGATTTGGGCTGGGTTAAGCTCAGAAGTTCTTTCACCACTCTGCCCTGTGGTCAGCTGTCAGTTTGGCTAGGGGTGTCTAACCAAGAATGGTGTGATAGTTGCAGCTGTGTGTCAACTTGGCTGGACCACAATTCTGTGTGGTTTAAGCAATTGTGATGTGGGTTATTTCATTGATGGGATTGGATGTATATGTTTTGAGAAGCCAATCCATTGAAAGGGAGTTTCCCTAGGGGTGTGGCCTGCTTCCACTATATTAATGGACACTGGGAAAAGAGACACTCTTCTGTGGATCAGGGACCCTGTTGTGCTGCCTACAATTGTCCATAAGTGGACAGTCCACCATTCGGCCTGGAGATCTTGGATTTTGTGGGAGTCAACAGCCAGTATACTGCCTGCCAACCTTGAGCTCGTCAGCCCCTGCAGCTGCGTGAGTCAGGAAAAACCTCCAGCTTGACGTTTGATCCAAGAACTTGGGACTTGCCAGCTTCTATAAGTGTGTGAGCCATTTTCCTAAGATAAAATTCTCTCTCTATAAATAGATATATAAGCTTTAATGGTTCTGCTTTTCT